CTGGTTCACATTACTCTTTGGTCTTTTGAACAGGAGTAGAGGTTTATCCATTGTTTCCTGTTTAGGATTGGATTTCTGGTTCTTTCTAAAAATCTACTTCAGGTCTGTACTCTTAATGCTTGTCCTTTCCTACACTAATATACCTCCAGATAGTAACCCTATGCTTTGAGTGGCTCTTGGGCCTTGTATTAAGTGAACATTAGTAAATAAAAAAATTCTTAATTAATATGTCCTGGAAAAACAAATTACTTTTTTAATATTTAAAAAAAATGTTTATTTCTTTTAATTTCTTGTGTAACAAATTTATATTTATTTTTCTATATTCCATTTGTAAGAAGGAAGTTTCATGCAGGCAACTTTTCCCTGAGAACTGCTACTTTGTGGAACAAACTCCCACATGAATGCTTCCCTGAATACTACAATCTTAACCACTTCAAATCAAGGATCAGTTACTATCTTTCCTTCTTTTCCGTTTACTTCCTCTTACATTCATGTCACACCTCATTCAGTAACCCTCTACCATGACTGGCTCTTGATCTGTGTAATGGGTGAACTGTAGTATAAAAAATGTGTTTTCCTTCTTGGCTTTATGATAGAGGTGCTTGGAAAAACAGAGAAATGAGGGAGGTGAAGTGTGGAGATGTAAATAAAAACAAAGTACAGATAACTCTTTAAAATGTCAGTGATCAATTTGGGACAGTACAGTGGAAGTTTGGTTATTGAACACATCCATTATCATAGGATTCAGTCATTGGTATTGTTCACTTTTTTTTGGTAAAAATATCTCTATTTAATTGTATATCTCCTCAGTTATGGAGCAAGGAAATCTGTCTATGAATCTGGACATTCTTGTTTGCTTGATGCAGTGTGACTTCCCCAACCCAAGCTCCCACATAAAGCATCATGTGTGCGTGACTTAGTCTGCCTTTGTCTCTCATTAACATTAGTTTGAAAGTTTTCATTTTGAAGAGTGTTTTTTTTTTATTTAGTTTTACTGTTAAATAAGCCACTATAGGTTCAAAGAAAGTTCCAAGTGTGTCTTTGGGAAAGTCACTGGGCTTGGATGTGAGTGGGCAGGATGTGAAGAGTTGGTGGAAGAACACAGAGCAGTGCTGATCACTGAAGAACTCCAAGATCTTCAGCTAGAGCAGCAATGAATGGCGGTAGAGTAAATAGCTTCAGAGGAGGACAAAGAGAGAGAGGAGAATGTGTCTTCTCTAGTGATTAAGAAGATTTGTTCAAAATGGAGTGAGGTGCAAAGTTTTGTTGAAAAATATCACCCTAAGAAAGCTGTTGCAATGCGTGTCATAAACATGTTTAATGACAATGCCTTGTCACATTTCAGGCAATTTCTTAAAATGGCGACTAAATCAAACCTCTTTGGACAGGTTTTTAGTGAGAGAGAGATCCAGTTAGTCTCAAATAGGTATTAAGTTCACGAAGACACAAAGGGAAATAACTCCAGAAAAATACTTACTTGAAGTTTTTATGGAGTTCCCCCTCCAAACAATAACATCACTCCTCCCTCCACCTTCACACTCTCTTAGAAACGCCAACAAGAGACTTCAATAAAGGTTATGTGAAGTTAAATATTCATTTATTCGATTTATTTATCATTTATATTTATTTCATACTCAAAAATATTAAAAAAAAATACAGAGATTTGTAACAATAAGACCACCATGAATAGTGTCTCACTGAAGAGTAGGGTGTGTATTTTGTAGTGGAACCAAACTATACCAGTTCTATCTGGGAGGGTGAAACAAGTCTAGAGGAAACTTCCTCATTCTTACTCTCAGTGGAAGTAGCAAAAAGTTCCTGAATACTTACATCTTTATACACAATAAACAGCAACTCCAGAGTCTTAAATAAACCATGAGGAAAATACAAAACCAATACCAAAATTAAGGAAGCAGAAAAGTAATTTTTCATTTTACCATAGAAAGCAATCAATTATAATTTTTTCTTAGTTTTTTTTTTTTTTTTTAAAAAAAAAAAAAAAAAAAAAGACTTGCTAATTACTGTTCCCCCAAAAATAAATTTTTCTTTTTTTCTTTGTACACAATTCTCCAGTACTAAACTAAATTTATATACATAGGCATTCCAGCCTATGTATAAAAATATATATATACCATATATGATCAAGAACATGGTTGCAGTTAATCAACTCTGTTGAGGGAAGAAAATTAAGTTATACCAATCTTCCAAAAGAGGAAGGAATACCTACAATGCAAAATTAACCTTTTAGGCAGAAGGGAGTATAGTAATTCACCGTTATTAAATTTAATTTTCTGAAAACACAGAAAAAGATTCAAGTGTGAGACCATTTTAAAGTATTACATTGGAATCGAGCCAAGAAACCTTAAAAAATATCAAAGTTCCAAGGGACTGTTTTAACTTTCATGGACTAAGAATTATTCAGTACAATTATCTTATAACCAGCTATGATCCAATTCTTGATCTCTCCATCAATGTAGATGGGTAATTTATATCAAGTTTGTTGTTAGTCTCTACATATGAAAACATAATGCAGTAATAAAAAAAAAAAATAAGCCTTACTTTATGATCACTAACCATAAATCATTTACTTATTGAATTCCATCCCATGACTGGACCAACCCAAAATCTTCATTACTTTGTGGTAGAGAGCAAATCATGTATCTGTTTTGATGACCCAATAAAATGGTTTTCAAACAATACTATATATATATATATATATATATATATATATATATGCTCTCTTTTTCAAATACATATATACAGAACCCTTTTAGTTGATCCAAAGTAAAACTTAAAACTATAAATGCTAAATAACATATTTGAAGAACCTTTCCCACAGTTTTATAAAATACCAATTTGTGCAGTTTTATGTTTGATTGTTGATGCATAAATTTTTACTGTAGATACAACTTGTTTTTCTCTTTCATTCTTGAAGGCTAAAAACTTCCAAATTCACTTAGCAAATTCAAGGTTAATAGCATATTTGTTTTCAACCTGAATATGAATCTTTGGTCCCCAACAAAGTATTAGATTGAAAGCAAATTTGGTTAGCATTTTTAAGTAAATTTCAAAGACAATTTTTAGATATTTGTACATAGATTTATTCAATCATTTTGATTCACTGTCTTTCATCATCCTTGAGGCAGCTTCATGATTCCATCCTCCCAGAACTTTGCTTCTTTCTGGGTGATGAACTGGTCTAAAGTGGTTTTTACATAATTCCAAAGAACTCATGTTCTTGCCATTAAGATAATTTTTCATTGCTTAGGATTGATCTGTGCCAATCTATATTGCACGCACATACATACATACACAAAGACAAATCACATACAATGACAAGCATTCATTGGTTAATAAATCACCACTATGATATAATAAACAATTTACAAATTGCAGCAATGCAACAATTTTGTAATCGCTCTATTTTCAAGTAGTCAATTTTGTGCACTTTTGGGAGAAACGGTTCCCAGAAGCTTTCTTAAGTCCCCTCGAAACTCACTTGCTGATTGGTCAATGCCAACCAATCAGATTGTCTGCATGGGAAGAATAACTTTTCCCGCTCAGCAATCTGGAGCCTATAGTCACTTATATAAGCAAGAATTTTTTTTAGAAAATTAGTGAGAATTCAGCTGCCAAATGAATCCATAACAGTTGAAACCATGCGCCAAACTTCTCACTCATACACACACCACTCACATACTGAACATTCCTTATACACTCATATAATCTTTTCTTACACAGCAAAATCTTCTGAGAACAGTCATTATAAGAAACCCTTATAAACATTATTCCAGTGAACTTTGAAATACAAAAATAATAGTTAAAGAGAGACAACTCTTGTTTTATTCAACCTTTTCTTAAATGCATGCTTTCTTTCACATCGTTGTTTGATTGTACATCTTGTTAAATACATATTTTATGTGTAACAATATCTTCTGCTTATCCTTTTCCATGTCAGTTTTGTTTCCTAATCTAAAGTTAAATTAATGTGGTGAAGTGCACCACAGATCTTTTCACATAGCCAAGTGTTTTCAAATGGTTTACAATGCTCATATGATGGTGTATCTCTGCAATTTCATATGACGTGGATGATTTTTAAATCACTGTTTTAATTTGGTCATCAACAACTGAAGGATTACTAGGAGTATTCTCATCCTTCCATATCAAAATTCCCCCTTCTGAATCTTGCCAATCACTTATAAACAAGGCAAGATGTGGCACAAGGTCAGTTTTTAACTTGGGGCATTCAGAGCCCGTAGAACCGTATACATGGGGTCGGGTTTGTCTAACTCTCCAAATGAGACTGCCCTTCGGCATGACCTCGTCTGGTTTCCTCTCTGCCCGGAGGCAGAAACTAGAGTGGAAGAGAAAAACCTCTTTCTGAGTGTCCTGATTCAAGGGGTATAATTCTTTTTTTTGGAGAGTTGTCTCCTGGAAATTTCATCTATCTCACACTTTAAACCATGACCTTGTGTCACATTCGATAACGACGTGGACGCACTGAAGAATCTAACCATTTTTACACCATGATTGTTGAAGAAGTATCCTGTCTATTTACCAACCTCCCCACAAGGCAAGATGTGGCACAAGGCCAGTTTTTAAAGTGGGGCGTTCAGAGCCAGTAGACCCCATATATACACTGTCGGGTTTGTCTACCTTCCCAAACGAGAATCTGCCCTTCGGCATGGCTTCATCTTGGTACATCTCCGCCCGGAGGCAGGAAGTTCGACTAAAGTGGAAGAGAAAACCTTTCCTAAGTGTCCTGATCCAAGGGGTATAATTCTTTTTGGAGAGTTGTCTCCTAGAAATGTTATTTATCTCCCCTGTCCCCCATTTTTTTATGCGTATTTTCCTTTTTTTTTTTTTGTTTATTGTTGAAATCATTTTCTGTCTTCCTCCTGATCACTTCCGGCGATTGCAAACTCGAGTTGTGCATCTAAAATTGGGATATTGTCGGCTGCGGTTGGGATTTTTAACGCAGCCCACAACAAAAACAGGCTATGGGGAATTCGCCGAGCAACAGCGAAGCTGAAGAAGAAATAAGAGAAGAATCAGCAATCGTAAGTCAGAATCCAAAATTCTTGATAGAAAAAAAAGTAAAAGTGAAAGAAAAAGAAACTATTTTAGCTTCAAATAATCCATTTTAATTTCACACACACACAAAAAAATTTTTCATCCGTTTTTGCTGCAAAAGGCGTGTTTTTATTTTTAGTATGAACAAAAAAGTTTAATTATATATTATTAACTGGTAATGTATTTAAATCTGTTTTTATTAAAAATTGTTTCTTTCTTATATTAATTAATAGAGTTTATTAATAATTGGTTTGAAAATTTCAGTATTTTAAATTTTAACTAAGAATCTTTTTTGCCGAAAAATAAAGTTGGTGAAATTAAAAAGGTTTTTTTTAACAAAAATGAATAAAATATACGAAAAATCATTTTTTTAAATTTGGGATTTGGCGTATTTATTTAAATAAATTGAAAAGCTTTTTTTAATTTTTTTTTTAAAAACCTACTTTTAAATTTAAAAAAAAGTAAATTATTATTTAATTTTACTTTTTTTGTTAATCTTGGCTAAAAAATGTTTACTTTTTAAAACTTAAGTTCTTACTTTTTTCTTTCTTTTTTTAATGACTTATTGTTATTTAAGACGAAGACATAATAACTAAATCTGAGTTAGTATTTTTTTTAGTCAGTTTTAAAATAATAGTTTCAAGTCTAATCCAAATTATTATATATTTTTTTTTTAAATTTTGACTTAACTTAAGTTAAAACTAAGTTATTTTCCTTCTTCCGGGTTTAAATTTTTCTTTCTCTCTCTTTGAAAAATATAAATAAATTCTGTTTTTATCGCTTTTTTTCTTATAAATAAAAGATATTTTAATTAATTTAAATAAAAAGAAAATAAATTTTTTGCTTCGAGGGGAAATAAAAAATATTCGATATTTTTTTTTATTTATTACAAACGTTTTAAATTTATAATTTATTTTAAATCTGTAAATGTAATATGAATTTTATATTGTCTTTATAAATTTATATGGCAAAGTATTTATTTATATCTTCAGCGATCCTTCGTTTTTAAAAGACATTATGATTTTTTAGTTGCAAGTTTTAAGACAGTTGCAGGTTGCTACATTTTTGTTTTATTTCATAAATTAAAAAGTCGTTATTTAAAATAATTGTATTTTTGATAACTAAATGAAATCTTCAAGCAAGATTATTTTTCAACTCAGAAATATAATTTCATATATCAGTTAAATTAAAAAAAAAAAGGATTTATTTATTAAAAAAATGTTTTTACTTTTTTCCATGAGTTTTTTAAATTTTTTTAATAAATATTCTTTTTAATAATTGCAAATTTTACTTTTTAAGTATTTTTTTAGTTTTACTTTTTTTTTTTTTTAAAAATAAACTTCTAAAAATTAACATTTTTCAAAATCAAGTTAAAAAGAGAAAACTTTTTTTTTCTTTTTAACGATTATCGATTTATTTATTACGGAAGGGCGTTGGTGATATAAATGAAAATAATTTTAAAAAATAAAAAAATAACCAATCTATCTTAAATACGGCATACAGAAAAATAAATGGGGTGGGGGGAAAACCGGTTTCGATAAAAAATAAAACGGCTTCTTGGCGTTATTGAAACCACAGTTATGTATAAATTTTCTGTAGGTCAATCCACGTCAATCTTTTTTTTTATGTCTCTTTTATTTAGTCAAAATAACAAGTATTTAAAGTAAAAAACCAATGACCCTAAGTGAAATTGGAATTTGTCACACTGTACCTGGGTAAATTGCTATTCAAATTGAAAACTCATTGAATTGAATAATTCAATTCAATGAGTTTTCGTTAGAAAATTGTTGAAACTTTTAAAAATAAAAACAAAAATCATGTGGTGTCATGATTGGTCCCTTTTGAGGTTGATTGACTATATTATGGGTAACGCGTATACTATTTTGTGGAAGATTTAAAAAAAATTATCCAAGTGTTTAACAAGACCCTATGTCAGTGACGTATTTGACAATGGGTCATTGCACAGAAAGCGGTGACATTTCATAGTTTCTTTATTAACATCAAATACAATAACATTGATTAGTTGCATTTTACAAACTTGTCCTCATCTTTGTTTTTCTTTTTGGCAAACTACTAAAGGCCCTAATCAACACTGAATTGGTTAAGCTGGGCATCTCACATCGCAGGGCCTTATTTCTAGACAAGCAATATGGATTTCGTTTTAATTGCTGTGGAAAGAGTTTATCAAGCTTTAGATAAGAATGATGAAACTTGGGCTGTTGCTTTGGACATATCTCGAAAGCATTTGATAGTTGTTTGGGATATTGGTCTTTCTCACAAGTTGAAAAATCATGGTGTCTCTGGATAAATTTTTGAACTGATTCAGTCTTAGCAAGTTGCGAAATGAAAGTTATCCTAAACGGCTACTCTTCTAGATCCTTTTATACTAATGCAAGTGTCCCTCAGGGCTCTATCCGTGGACCTACTTTGTTCTTAATTTTTTCAGTGACCTTCCTGATGGTATCTATGCTGTTGACACAGTCATTTACTCCTGTCTCGTTAGTAAGTCTGATCAGTTTGATACAGTCAATTTGGTGGCTGATCTGAAAAGTGACCTGTTAACTGAGGCAAGGAATGGCTTGTTAATTGTAACACCTTCAAAATAAAACTGCTTTCTATTAATCATCTAAGAAACTCCTTTCTATCTTCCATCAGCATGGTTGATGCTGACCTCTAGGAGAGTGACTTTTTGTATCTATCGAGTTAACATTCTCAGCTGACATGAAGTGGAAAGACTATATTGAATCCGTTGCTAGGTCTGCTTTTTGTATTAATGCAGGCGTCTCCCAGGGTTGTATCTGTGGCTGTACTTTGTTCTTATTTTTCCTGAATGACCTTCCAGATGGCATCAGCTCTCAATTTGATATCTATGCTGATGACACAACCGTTTACTCCTGTCTTGATAGTAAGTCTGATCAGTTTGATAAGGTCAAATTGGCATCTCAAAAATGACCTACAGTCTATTGTTAACTGTGTCAAAGAATGGTTTGTTAATTTTATTCCTTCCAAAACAAAACTACTCTCTCTATTAATCACCTGTGAGACTCTTTTCTGCTTTCCATCAACATGTTTGATGTTAACTTCCAGGAGAGTGACTTGTTGAAATTTTCTTGGATGATATGAAGTGGAAAGACTATATTGAATCCATTGCTAGATCAGCAGCTAAGAAAATTGGTTCCCTATATTGTGTGAGACAATTTTTCCTCTCCAGAATCTTACATATCTATAAGTCTACTATTTGTCTATGCTTTAAATATTGCTGCCACATTTGGTCCAGTGCTGCTTGTATATATTTAGAGATTCTTGATAAAATTCAAAAAAGAATCTGCAATATTATTAGTCCTGACCAGGCATCTAGTCTTCAGTCAGTTTGTCGTCATCATGAAGTTACTTCTCTCTGCCTTTTCTGTAAATACTTTCATAGTAATTGTTTGGATGGGTTCTTCACTATTGTACCTAGATTATATATTTAAGTGCAGTACTAGACTGGCATTGAGATCTCACCAATTTACTGTGGAACTGGCTAGAGGTTACCATAAGTTCTATGCTAACTGTTTCTTTGCTTGCACTTTCTCGCTTGTGGAACACTCTTCCAGCAAACTTTGATCTTCAAAAATTTAAATGCAATGTCAATCATTATCTACTGTCTTCCTGATTACTCTTCTGTTCTTGTTCCTTAATAGTATATCTGTTTTCTAATTCTTTCACACTCAGTAACCTCTTGTGTCTTAGTGGCTTTACTGCTTTGCATGGAGTAAATTTGATTTAAAAATAAAACAAACAAAAATCAATATTATGGCTTTGAGAATTCTTCAGGAAAGTTTAAACTGAAACTTTATAAGGGACGATCCATGTCTGAGTATAGCTTGTTTTTTGTTTAATACTTGTTTACTCAATATAAGGCTTAAGAGCCATTCAAGGTAGAAGATTACTAAGTAAGGTTGTTGTAAGGACATAATAGGAGGAAGTAAGAAGTGCATATTATGATGCCATGTAGATAAGTTTACCCAAGACTTGAAGATGTTAAGAGGGTAGTGACTGAGGAAGCATTCTCTCTTCAGTCTATTGCATAAAATAACAGTTCTTCAGAAGAAGCTTTTTGAGTGGAACTTCATTGTATCACTTGAATGACAACTACATAAACAATTGTTTGAATGTGTGCCATTTGTATATTGAGAGAACAAGTTCAAGGTGTACAACAAATTTTTCCAAAGTTATGAGCATTAAAAAAAAAAAAAAATTCTGGTTAATTAAAGGTGCCACATTTTTGTTTTAAACTCTGGCATTTCAATCAAAAATGCACCAGTCTTGTCCCTGCTTTTGTAAATAGCCAAAAAACAAAAAATAATCCATATATCTTTTAGTGCAGAAAATAACCATGCCTTGTTTTTTCTATACCTATCTACAGGGAATAATTGGAACAGTTGCAAAATCCACTCCTATATTTCAAAGACCTATTATGTTAAGAACTTTAACTAAAACTTCATAATTGCAGGTTATATCTATTGTAAATACATTTATCTAATTTACTGTCTTTGTCTTATTTATTTTTAGAATTTAGTAAAATTTAAGCTAAATGCGTGACCTCTCTGAGTTTGAAAAAGAGCAAATTGTTGGAGCTTGCATGGCAGGAGCCTCGATCACTAAGGTTGCTGAACTGTTTGGTTTTTCAAGAGCTACCATATGAAGAACTATGATGCAATTCGACAAACAGGGCAAGACCTCTAGCAACTGTAGCAATTCAGGCTGGACTTGCAAACTTACTGACAGGGACTGACATGCATTGAAACACAATGTGGCAAAAAATCATTGGACAAATGCTGCCAAAGTGACTGCTGAGTTGAATAACCATCTGAATAGTTCAGTTTCTACTAAAACTGTTCACTATGAGCTCCATAAGGCTGCATATCATGGAAGAGCCGCTGTGAGGAAACCTCTTCTCTCCACTCGCAACATTCAAAAGAGGTTGAAGTGGTGCAGAGATCACAATGTCTGTTCTGCAGACCAATGGAAGCAAGTCATATTCTCAAACAAGTTCCGTTTTTCTCTTTTCCCAACTTCAGGGTGAGTTTATGTGTGAAGGTAGCCCAAAGAAGCTTACAACCTTGACTGCCTTCTTCCAACAGTGAAACATGGAGGTAATAGTTTGGGTTGCCATATCATGGAAATGTCTCAGTCCAATAGTTGCCCTGCATGGTAGAATCAACAGCAAAGATTACCTGAACATGTTGGGAGATCATGTTCATCCAATGGCCAAGACTTTATTCCCTGATGGTGACTGCATCTTCCAAGATGATAATGCTCCAATACATACCACTCTAGTGGTTAAGTATTGGTATGAAGAGGATGAAAGTGAGCTAGAACATATGGAGTGGCCTCCCCAATCTCAAGATATCAATATTATTGAACATTTGTGGTGTATTTTGGAGAAACAAGTTAGGAGCTGCTATCCTCCACCATTGTGTCGTAAAGAGCTGAAGAAGGTTTTAATGGAAGAATGACTGAAAATTACTCTGGATGAAGTCAGGAAGCTGTACGATTCCATTTCTAGATGTATTAAAGCTGTCTTTGAGACTAAAGGAGGACCAACTCCATATTAAAATAAAAACTCCATATTAAATAAATTTTCTTTGAATTTAACAAGTGTTCCAATTATTTTGTCCAACCGCTGTATCTCAAGCTTTTGGCTTACATAAGCCATTATCAAAGATGACAATTACTTTTCAATATATCAACCGATACACAGACGAAACAATAACGAGTCTGTTTTTGATAATGGCTTATGTAAGCCAAAAGCTTAGATTGGATTTAAACATGTATCAATATGGTGATTTCCTGTCTTCAATGATAATGTTATTAAGCTTATCAGACAATATGAAAGGAACTTATTTAAAATAAATAGACAAAACTTGTCTATATTATTTAATGAAACATGCATTTATATATATATATATATATATATATATATATATATATATATATATATATACACATAATTATTTATTCGAAAATTATAACATAAATATGTTATAAAATCACTACAAAAATAGCCATTTTGTTTCAACATTTCTGGTGTCTTATTAAGTGATGGTGTTGTATTTGCTCTACTCTGTAATGAGCACGCTTTTAAGAATCGTATTTGTTGGTTATTAGAATTTATTCTGTATATACCAATCCTATACTTGTGTGTGTAAACATGTATCAATATGGTGATATATATATATATATATATATATATGAATAAAAACAGATCACTTTAAGGTTCCATGTAATAAATTATTTCACCATAGCCCTTTTAAAGTCATCTGTTTTTATTCAAACATATTTGCTCTGAATTTACATTGAGCTCTCCGGATATCATCCTCCTTGGGTCTACCCATACAGATTACCTAGTTTTGCATAAACTATATATATATATATATATATATACACACACACACACACACACACACACACACACACATGTTAAGTATATGTTTATTAAAATTCTAACACTGACATAAAGATTGCTTAAGTAACCAAAGGTAAGTTGGGTGATTCACCAATAGTAAATCATTTTGTTGCCGCCTTTTGTACTAATTGTGCAAGGTGAAATGAAAGGTGGAAATGATATTGCAAACTCTTTTTTTTTTTCCTAGGTCTTCTTTTTACTATCCATTGATACTTTCAGGCCAATTTTCCTTATATTTGTTGTTTCTTTTCCAATATTTTGGTTCCTTTAATATCCAGTACCCTTTCTGCCTGATTTTCTGGGACAAATGATTCTTACTATTATACATTGATTTTTTTTTTTTTTTTTTTTTTTTTTTGAGGTCTTTGTTTAGCAGTAATTCATCAGTGCTGCTTAGCTGTTATTACTGATATTGACATTTGTTCTTTCAAATTAATGGTGACCATTGCTATCACTCACTAGCCAATCAAGTTAACCACTCTGAATTTTGTGTCTGGTATTCTTTTATGATACTATTAGAATTCCAGACAGAAAGGATTTTTCAGAATTTAGTTTTTGTCCATGTCTAATATTATTTGGATGAGAAATGATTTTTGGGTGTTGGAGAGTGTATCTTAAATTTGTTATATCTGATGGTTATGTTGGATTTTCTCCCCAAAATGATCTTCCTTACTTTTTCTGCAGTTCTTGCTTTTTCTGCTATTTATGAATATTTTGAAGAAAAATCAGAAAACTGGTTAAAAAAAAAAAAAAAAAAATCAAATAGTTAGTGTTAGGCTTGTTCAATAGGAACTCAGTAGATTTAGAAATAAAACGTCCACTTCAGATGAGGCTTATAAAGAATATTTTTTAATCTTCTTAATACCTTTTGTGTCTTTGATCTTTACTGATTCATTTCTTTTTTTGTTTCTGGATACAAAGAAAAATTATTTTCTGATATCTGTATAGATTAATATTTTTTTCTTTTGTAGGAAACCGATGAAAATGACAATGAAGGTACGTCAAATCTTTCTTTCCCCCCTTTATTTATTTATTTATTTTTTTCAAAAGATGATGTGGACATTGATTTTTACTTGACTAATTACAAGAGTGTCTTTGCCTAAAATGGAATTAGCATGCCAAGTTCAAATTCTATCCAAGGTGATTAAACTTACTTTCACACAAATACCCTTTGGAATAGGATGAAGCAATTTTTTTTCTGTCCAACTACAGGTTAAATAGCAGGGCAAACTGAACTCTCTAACTTTGCTTGGAAATCAGTCTAGGAAAAGATGATTCTGAATTCAACCTGGTTGGGCATGAACTTAAGTGCTATGGAGCTACAATTAGCATGGGGACTCTACTGGAAATTGAGGAGGGGGAACTACAAGAGATTTTTTGAAGATTTAAAAAAAAAAAATTTAACCTCTTCGGTATCATTTTGTTTATTATTGTCTAATTTTCTCTTTTGAACACTTTATAAAATAATAACTACTGCTTGTGCCTTGTGTCTACCCATTCAGAAAATTCTATTTCTGAGTTATGTGTGGTTATTGAGTCATATATAAAAATTGCCAATGTGGTTTAGTGTGTTTGACCATCCCATATGTGGTTACTTTTTCTTATTTAACTAAATGAAACTAGTAGAAAAATTGCCATCTAGAAAGTTCTCAGGCAAAATGTATATAAACATGAAATTTCTCTTTGATCTGTGTCTTATTCCCACCTTTTTCATCTCATTTCATAGAAGTTGTTTCACCTGGAATTAACACATACAACTGTTTATGAGACAGTCAAGCTGAATTTCTGGTTTTTATCAACACTTTCTTTTTTTTTTTTTTTCCTAATCTGTTCTTTGATTTTAATGCAATGAACTCCGTATAAAATTTGATCAGCCTCTCTAGCAAAAATCCACATTAACAAAAAAATGCTTTAAGATTTGCATTTTTACTTGTAAGACTATAATTATCTATTTGATTAAAATGATTGGCTGAACTTTAACCTTTGATAATGTCTTCAGATTAATAATGGTTCAAAGGATGGTAAATAAATATTATGGCCAAGGATGCTTTCCCAAATACTACAATCTTAACCTCTTCAAGTATAGAGTTAACTGTTATCTATCATCTGTACGCTCATTATCTGCACTTACTTTCCCCTTGCATGTCTGTACAGCAATCTCTGCTAAAGTTTTATAAATGATTTACTAAGCATGGTTTAGATATGGCACAAGGATGCAGGTTTGGAGCACTCAATGAGGATTGAACTCACAACTCAGTTGTAATTGATCAGGCAGGACAAGCTTATTAAACATTACACCATAATGAAGTGTCCTAATTAAAGTGATATAACATACTAATGTATACTAGTATATAAGTCATCCTCTAAGATTGTAGGATTAATTCAAGTTTATGCGATATCAATAACAAATGCTTTAAATTTTTTTTTAAAAATTATGTGTTGTAATGAAAACAAGGCCAATTAGCATTTGTGTAAATAGATGTTGGAAATATACAGAAATGACCTGACTGAAGTGTCTTTATGCTATTCAGGCAAATGATTTCATGACCAACATATAAGCTCAAAACTGAATGTATGAAGCAGGAAACATTTGATCTCTGTAGTAAAAAGCTTACTCGAGAAAAGTCAATAAATTTCTTTCTGACTTATAATGGTTCATGTCATAGTAGTTGGTGGCTGTAAAAGAAATTGTTGCTTCAAAGACATGACAAAATATTAAAACCTTTAAGTAAACAAAGGATGTGTGAATATCAAAGCAGTTATTGGCATGAAAATTGGGATTGTCATGCCAAGTTCAAATTTCTTTTATTTCAGGAAAGGAGGAAAATGCTGTACAAAAAGCAAAAAAGGTATGTGTCATTTGTGGAGATGGTGTCATAGCTGAGAATACTGTTGATCAATGGTTCTCTGAGACTGAGAGCCTTCCAGTTGGCCTGCAATCAATGTTGAACAAATCAAAATGCAGATTAAAAATAATCCAGGTCACATGAGATAGGACATTCCAGAAATAATCTATATATCTCATACTAGCTTAAAAGCCGCCCTATTGGGCAGGATTTAAGCTAGCTCCTGCAGAGAGCTCTTGATCAGGCTTTTGGCTTGTTCAGAAGTTTGAGAGTCCCCAAGTTTTTACATATTCTCAGTAATGGAAGCTCTCCTGGCTGCTGTTTGATCTGGGTTTTCATTTGCACCGGACTTTCTTTTCCTTGCTGCAGCCTTGGCTCTTTTGATTGCAATCTGGTCCTCTGTTCATGGAAATTTCTTTTTGTGAGGCATAATGCTGCTGTGTAAAGAATAAGCTACAGAAGAACTCAAAATTGATCACTTCATTTAAGTATTGCATTAATATTTAAGCTTATCTTTTAAAAGTTCAATGATAATTCTTCTGCCACCACTAATTAAAGACAATTTGATGTATGTAGGTCCTTATTTTCTATACAAACAATTATTTTTATTTCATGTGTAACTTTTGCTGAATTTCGCAAATAATTTCAATAATTCCCAAATTTGTTTCCAAGTTATAAAAATTGTTATCGTACAAAAAAATTTGTCTCAAAAAATCACGTAAAACAAATCTCAGAAAAGAATCACAGTAACGAAAACTTGGGAATCCAAAATTTTGTAACATGAGCTATTGAAAGTTATAGAGTTGTCCCCTTAATTGTGACACACTGGCATTCACATTTATATATAGATGATCATTATAAAGCATTTGAAAACACTTTGATACTTGAATTGCTATGATGTTTAGCAGCAAAAAATTAATGGACTGCATTTTCATCTGCAATTCTCTGCTCAAGGGCAACAATAATTTTCTAACAATGTGGAATGATAAAAGTCCTGGGAAAAACAAAATGAGCCACTATTAACCAGTTTAAAAACTGGTTTGCAGCTGAAGATCGTGATGTAAATCTGGTGCGATTGGAAGGGCAACACATTGTATTGCAGACTTGGCAAAAATTGGTAAGGCTTTGTTCTGATGTCTTACTACCCCTGCTATACCAACAGAAACATTCTATTTTGTGATTAGAAGGGCATTGTGTATTCTAAGCACCTTCCACAATATCAAACAATGAAGTCAACTGGAAGGGTCTTGTCTTCCATCAGGACAATGCCAGAGCTCCCATCTATTTGAAGACTCTGATCCATACCCTTTTGATTCTAAAAACCACTGCCATACCCTTTTGATTCTACATCTTTGGATTACTACTGTAACCAGTTCATCACCTGGATGATATGCCAAATTCTAATGTATAGGTTCATCATGATGTAAATGAAAAAAAATTACTGAACTGCATTTCTGCCTGCAGTTCTCTAACAAATGCAACAGAAACAACCCATTTTTGAAAAGAATAATTACAAGTGATGAAACAGATTCTGAGGAAAAAATGAAATAAACCAGATCCCACATCTATTTGAGGATCCTGGCAAAAATTAGTACAGCTTGGCTTGGATGTCTTACTAAACTCACCATACTCATTTGGATTACTGCTTATTATGACTCCTACAAAACTTCCTTAAATGGAAGATCAATTCTATGGAAAGCCTGTAAAAACCACTTAGATCAATTCATCCTACAGAAAGATGCCAAATCTTGGAAGTATGGAATCATGAAACTGATTCAAAGATGGTAATGGTAATGGTACAAAATGATGCATATGTATGTGGTTGAATAACTCTATGAACAAATACCACAATATTTTTTTGAAATTTGCTTAAAAAAATGCTGCAAACTTTTGTTTCAATTCGATTTAAACATGTCCTGAAAATGTCAGTTTGTAATACCAGTTATATTGTGAAATAAATTGAGTTGCATAATAAAATCTGATATTGTGTTAAGCCTATCTAATAAATATAATTATTTTTTTATCTGTTTATATTTCTGAGATGAGGTATTATAACTATTTAAACTATTTGGACTTTTGTCCTCATCTTTATTGTCATATTCACAATGTTTTGGCCTTTGTACACTCCGACCTTCTTCAAGGGATATACATTGGAATTTTGAACTGAACCCTTTATTTAGTCCATGGGGGTAGATTGTTCTAATTCCACATGCCATGCCTTTTCTGTTTATCTCAGTTTCAGTTAATTCCCTTTAGAAACTCAATTCTTCAAGTTATTGTTCACCTCTGCTGGCCAGGTATTGAACTCAAAACTCTTTGGGTCAAGTAACTGGATTACTTCAACCAATGCTTTTATGCACTGGGCCACTTTTAATTCTGTAAAGATTATAAAACGCAACATTTATGTTAAGTTTAATAAATAGAAATTAGGGCACACTGCCCTTTGAAAAAAGAAATGCTTGTCATTGTTGTCAGTTGGGATCTAGAGTCCACAACTATTCACTGCAGTTATTTATGTCTCCATAACTCCTTTCCATAGCTGTTACCAGCACTACATACGGTTTTGAATTCAGCGTTACTTTTCTCCTAGACTAGTTGCCAATCATGGTTAGAGAGTCCAGTCTGCTTGGCTATTTAACCCATAGCTGGGGGTAGAAGAGATGGATTTGTACCTTTTACAAGGGTATCTGTGCAAAAGTGTAATGATTTCAACTTGAATCTGAACCCAGCTCACTGATTTTTTGTCCTAAGTTGCTACCCACGTTGCATATCCTTTGATGTTTTAAAAGATAGATGTCAGTTTTTATAGATAGATTTAACGTGTATATCTTATTGAATCTGTTAGAATAGTTAATCTGTAGTAGAAATAAAATACTCTTTGTAGATCAGGAAATATAACAATTAAATTATTGAACATCTCCAGAAGAATCTATAGATTTTGTTTCTTTTGAGAAGAGAGAAAATTAATTGAAATTTAAGACTTTTTCCTTTTTGTATCATTTACTGAATTTTGTTTTCTTTATAAAATATTTTATTTTTCTCTTTGTAGGCGAAAAAGAAAGCAGCCTGTTGCACCTGACAGAACTACTTTTTGATTTATCTGCATTGCGGAACATGGCTTGTAAATTAGAGTAAGTATACATCTGACTTTGTTTAAATTATTTCCATGCCAATCTGTTGAGTCCTATCATCCATCACTCTTCAAGTATTTGGCCCATTAATTGCAGATAAGCGTTTGTTGTTTACAACCATATCACCATCACAGTCAATGTAGTTGTTATGTATCAACATGGAGTCCATGCTAAGATATCTTATCACTTGGCCATTTTCATGAAACTTGCTATTTCTGAGCCACTGCTTTTTTATGGATTATCAACCCTTTGCAGGTTATTTAAAGCAACAAAATATTTTTAGATTGTAAGATTGTTTTTTTTATGATTTAGTGATACAAGTCTTACTAATTAACCCATAGCTGGAGAAAGAAGTGGATTCATGCCTTTTTTCCAAGGGTATTTAAGCGTAAGTGAATATAACAAACTCAAAAGAAATTGATAATCTGCTCTTTGATTAACAATTCTGAGCCATTATTCATTATACCCAAGCTTACAGCACCTGATATTTCCAAGGGTCACCCATCTAGGTATTGAAAAGGCTCTGTGTTGCTTAACTTTGATGTCTGAGCCACTGTGTTTGGCAGCTAGTGCTATGTGCATTGTGTATGTTTTCATTTCCTGTGTCAGTTTAGAAGCTGTTATGTTAATGCCCTTGATAGGTCTGAAAGAGAAATGAGAAGCTTCAAATTTGGTGCATGCCACGTAACATTACGTTAGGTTGTCTTCCATTTACAGCCTACTAAATGCAAATTCTTCCTGATGTATCCTGCATAAAGATGTTTTAATTTTTCATTGTTTTTATTTATGACTAGCAAGGGTACCCATCTACTAGGGCAGCTAGCCAATCCCTATTGCAGACACTTGTTCAGGCACATATATGTTTATTCAACACCCACAGAGCCAACCTGTGGTTTATACTGCAACTATGCTGTGCAGACCTTAGTTACAGTTTCTGGGAAAGAGCGTGTTATCTAGCATGATCAACAATTTGAGCAAGGCCAGCACGCTCAAACCCTCAGCCACAATGACTTGTGACTTTGTGTTAGCACAGCTGTCAACAGTCCCCAGGGGTTCCATCTTCCCAATTTCACTCACAAGGCTTAGGTCAACCTGTGGTATACTTTTCAGACATTTTCCCATGGTGATGTATGCTGGGATCAATCCCCTCCAATCCGATAGCATCAGGAAGTTTCCTTCCTGATAAGGGTGAGATTTGAACCCGGGTCTCATGGTTAGAATGTGAACGTTCTAACCACTTGGCCACATGTCCATTTTTATTTGTATAGATTATTAAAATGATGAAGAGAAGTCACCACACCAAATGTTATTTTTTTTAATTTTTTTATTTTAGTTTATTTTTCATGACCTTTAGAGGAGATCTAGGTCAGCATGACATTGCCTACTTGAGTATAAAGTTTGGTTCTAATTTTCTACTAGTTTCTGATTCTATAGTAGACAGACACTTCATTTTATTTGTATAGATTGTACGATATTAAATTTTAAAACTTTTTTTTTTTTTACTATTATTTTTTATTACTAATTTTACTCTTCTTATTTAATGCTTTTCATAGTGGTACACAATTTTTTATGTTTATTAAGACAGACATTTTATCGAAGGAATATTTCTTATGGTTTATCAGGTGGAACAACCTCTTAATTGCTGTTGTTACCATGTCCATCCTGACTTGGGGTGGTAGCACTTGTTAAGGCCCCAGCTATGGGCAAATAGTTAATCTCCAAACTGGGGTCAAAACACTATGAAAATATAAAAATAGTTTTATAGTAACAATATCAACGATACATTTGTAACAAAAAAAAAATAAAAAAAATATTACCAACAATGCATTTTTGAAAAAAAATTATACTAAAAATACATATGACTCTTGACAAAAAACCTCTTTACAAAAATTTGTCAAGAAAACCTGATCTACAAACTGATTTTTTACAAAGAATACATATTCTATTTATATGAACCTATCCTAAAAATCTGTCCCAATCCTCATAAATACAGTGGAATATACTACTTGGGGGATTCCTAGCAGTGGATTACTTACTACACGCCGCTGGCAAATCTTGTATATTGCTAATGTTATAGAGATTACTGTTCCATTTACAAACTTCATTTTGGTTATTCTTATTCAGTAATCTTTTCTAGGTTACAACAATATACAATATATTACCTACTATCGCCTGAGGAAGTACAATCATAGTATTGAAACATGAAAGCTTTTGTGTAGCGATTTAAAAAGGTTTTTATTATAACCTCTTATAATAAATATATATATATATATATATATATATATATATATATATAATGGATATGAGGTGATTTTGTATTTTATTGTGTATTAATTTTCGCTCTGTAATAATAAATACATTGAGCTCTTTTTGTGGATCAGTTTTAATATTTTATATTACTAGTATCCACTTGAATTATATATCAATGGATTTATTACCTTTACTATATAATTATAAATATATATATAATACTAATAATCTTAAAATATAAGTAGCTATACTCATCTGGCAAAACCTTAGGTGTTTTTGCTTGTAAATGAACAAACCAATACCCAAGGGAAAAAAAGGATAAAAAAAGAACTAAGAACATGTACTTCCAGCAAAAATAATCGTCTAGAATCTAAGTTCAGAGTCCAAAGAAAAAAACCTCCGACACGAATAAAGTAAAACTAACTAAGCAAAGTACTCAATACGCTAAGTAGAGCAAACTAAGTAAACCTAAAGAGCCAGACAAACGTTTGTCTGGCTCTTTAGGTTTACTTATATAGTCTGTGTGTGTTAAGTCCTGATCCATGATGTCATAACTTATAGACATAATGAAATAATAAATGCCAGTCAATTGAGAAAATCGGGTGGGTAACACTAATAGGTAAAGGTGGTAATAGGATGGGTGAGGTGACAGATAAAAAATTTTTTTTTTTAATTTTCAGTCTCTCTAATCTTTATTTTCAGTGAGGATTTACCTCAAGATGTTATCAGTCAGCATCAAACTTATATTTTGCGTTGGATTGATGAACGAATGTCCAGGAGAGATGTAAGTTTTTTTGTTTGTTTTTTTTCCCAATTTTGATTCCAATGAACCACAAATAATGACATTAATTCAGAACCAGTCAAAATCATCATTCCATTATTTGAATAACGTTCACCATGCCAGAAATATTTCAAAGAACAGTTTATTGCAGTGTTTCTAAAAACTAGGTAAATTCTCTGAAATTGCTTTAATATATTTTTTCTTTGCTAACAACATGGAATCCACATTTTCCTGTTGATTTCAATGAGGCATGCTACTGTTAGCCTTTATTCTGCACATTACTATAAAGTTTGGTAATAGTAACAGACAGTACTCGACTGTAATTGAAGTTAAGTCTGACTGACTAAAGTCTACATGGTGCTGTGAACAGGATGGAACCTGAGGATTGGGAAAATTACCTCATCGATACAGGAATCTCTGCCGACTCGGCCAAGAACTATGCTGCAACATTTGCAAGTGAAAAGCTGACAAAGGAGAACTTGCAAATGATGGATCTAGCTATGCTGAGAGAGTTGGTGTCAATGAGATGGGAGAAGCCCTATCTATCCTTAAGCAAGCTAAGAAATTCCCCTTTCCAGCGACAGAAGAAAACTTAAGGATTGGCTCCTAAAGCAGTTTGCTAATACAACTTTTAAATGCGATGGAGTATTCCCATCTATGTCCGGTCCTACCACCCACATACATTGAAAAGAAGGCGCAATCCCTAAAGTCAGGCACAGCCCAATTCCCGTGCCTTTCCATGTCAAGGAACCAGTAAAACAGGCCCTTTGGAAAGACGTAGAAAGAGCACCAGTACTTATTGGCATGTCCACTGATCGGTGCAGCACAATGGTCATCACAACTAAAAAAAATGGTAAACCATGGAGAACTATGGACTAACAACACCTGAATTCCCAATGTAAACAGGAGACACATCCTACTGGGTCACCGTTCCAATTGTCACTTCAGGTACCACTTAAAACAAAAAAAACTGTGTTGGATGCTGTTGATGGGTACCACTCAATACCATTAGACAAAGAATCTCAGCCACTTACCCCTTTCATTATGGAATGGGGAAGATTTATGTACCTAAGGATGCCTCAAGGCTACCTTACATCTGAAGACGCATACACACACAGATATGACGAGATAATAAAGTCTATTCTATAAGTTCTGATTGGCTGATAATTCCAGCATGGATATTGTGCTCAATAAATATCCAGCACAATATTCACCCTGTGACTTTATTCAAAAGAAGGGCATCTATTGAGTTACAACCCTGTTTATTTTTGTCAGCCAACTGGATGCTAGTTGGAAACCTCCTTGTGAAGGTGAGTCTTACACTCTTGATTATTCAATTACATTTGATACCATGAACTGAGATTTAGTTTTTCCTATGAATGTTATGCACATCTGTGACTCATTCACAAATATTTGAACTGTTATTTATAATAAACTGTTTACTTAGATCAATGATTAAAAATGGCTTCAAGTGAATGAATCCTTTAAGTTTTAAAAATGATTTTATTATCAGAGTTTATAGATTAACACTACAAAATCACAAGCAAAGAAGTTTTTCCAATCATAAAAACCATATCAAAGACTTCCAACAGCAGCAACAACAGAAATGAGCAGCACATGGAACTAAAAGATAAAATAATGATATAATCAAGATATTAATTTTCCACATTGCCAAGAGACAAAAAGTTTGGAAGGAAATTATTATCAATATTAGAAAGAGCTATGTTTAGTGGAATTGAAAAATCTAATTTCTTATAAAAAACTGTTTTAAGAAAAAGATTAATAATTTCAACCAACAGGAATACTAATTGTCCGGTCAATGAATGCCAAATGTTTTCTGTATGGCAACTGTTAAAATTCACTATTACCATTAAAAATGTTGATTTGGCAGAGTTTCTCACTAGAATTAAAATTTTAATTTTCATCTTTTTTTTTTTTCCTCCCCAAAATGAGTGTGTTCTTAAATAGGTGTTAGTGTTCTATTCTTACATTGGGCAATGAAAGGAAAAGATTGTGAAACACCGATTGAATCAAAGAATCCATTAAGCATTAAAAAACAAAAACAGAACAGCTGTTTTTTTAGTAAATTGCAGTGAAGTTTCTCTCTGCTTTGTATCATGTATTGATCCTTTCGGTTGGATACTGAAATCAATTATAATCCAGACATTGAGAGTTTGTATCCAATTCCATATATTTTTCAGATTATTTGATTTTGTTGATTGTAATGCAACATTTCAACCATAATATTCTTTGGCCTTCCTCACATGTCTGTTGCATCTCATCACCTTTAGAAGTTGCTTCATACTTTTCCCTCATCTTCCTGACAAAAACATTATATTTTTGTCTTAGCTTATATTTCTTGATAATTTTGATGGTATTCATACTAACTGCACTTGGTTGCATTCAAGTTTTGTCCAGCACTTCCCTTTGAATTTCACTTGATGCCGTCCTGGGTATGATGATAAACTACCTCCGCATCCTGGGTAAGATGATAAACTACGTCCAACAGGTCTGGAGCAGGTTTTGAGGAGTGTCGAACCACCTCTTAATTGCTGGTGTTCCCAGGTCCACCCTGACTCGGGGTGGTAGCACCTGTTAGGGTCCCAGCTATGGGCAAATATTTAACCCCAAAACTATGGTAAAAACACTATGAAAGTGTAAAAATATGTTTTATTACCAGCAATAAATTTTTGACAAAACAAAATATTACCAGCAAAAGATTTTGTCGGCATGAAGTAACTCATTGAGGTTGATATGCTGTAAAACAAAACAAACCAAACTTCATTTGATGCATAAATTAAAATTTTATCAAGTGTACAGCTTTTAAAGCCTAACTTTTTCTTCTTAATGTGACTACTAATTATTAAGGTGGAACAAAAATCTTGTGTAAGTGAATTTTGAGGACAATATTTAGATAGATTTATTTAACCACCTATATATCCTGTCCTGGGTATGACAATAGACTTCATCTGAGTCCTGGGTAAGATGATAAACTAAGCTCAACAGCAAGCCTCTGATCAGGAGGTTTTGAGTGGTGTGGAACCACCTCTTAATTGCTGGTGTTCCCAGGTCCACCTTGACCCAGGGTGGTAGTACATGTCATGGTCCCAGCTATGGGCAAATAGTTAACCCCCTCCAAAAGGGGTCAAAACACTATGAAAGTATAAGAATACATTTTAAGAGAAAAAGTTTTTACCAGCAATAAATTTTTGGAAAAAAATAATTATTACCAGCAATAAAAATGTTGTTGGCATTAAATAACCCATTGAGGTGTTGATATGCCATAAGACAAACCAAACCACCTATGTATCATTTTGTTTGGCTACATTTTTGCTACCTGTCTATATTTCTGAGATGAGGTATTATGTACACTATTTACATTATTCGGACTATTGTCCTCATCTTTGTCACCATGTTTATCACAACATTTTGGCCGTTGTACGCTCCGGCCTCCTTCAGGTGGTTGGAATGTTGAACTGAACCCTTTATTTCGCTCACTGGGGTAGACTGTTCTAGTTCCATGTGCCATGTCTAATGAATGTCAGTTATCTCCTGTTAATTTCCCTCTCCAAGTTCTCCACTGTCTTAACCAGGTATTGAACTCACACTCTTTGGATCCTGTCATTGGATCTAACGCCTTTATCCACTGTGCCATGTGTACTTGAGGCTGAAACGTGATAAACATGGCAACAAAGATGAGGACAATAGTCCAAATAATGTAAATAGTGTACATTTTTGCTATGTTTGAGGCAAGTTCTTCCAGTGGGTGATGAACTGGTCTAAGTGCTTTATACAGGCTTTCAGAGAATTGAAGTTATTCCCATTAAGAGAATTTTGTAGAGTTTGAAATAATTGGTAATCAGAAGGTACAAGGACAGGAGAATATGGTGAGTGCAGTAGGACATTCTAGCCAAGCTGTAGCAATTTCATTTTATAAATAATGAATTTGCCTTTCACTTTTATCTTGCCACACTTTAATTCTTTTTGTAGACAACCATTACAATGAGAGAATTCTGTGAAATGCTAATACACAAAGGAGTTTCTGAGAAAGATGCTGCCAAG